CTGACGTACCTAAAAAACATGGCCGGTGAGTGTGTGTGTATTTTTCTATTAACTCTATAAGCCCTGGTGTTGTGCATAGGGAAAGTGTCAGTTTGAGAGATGAGCTGCAGCCGGCGTGAGGCGGAACGTAACTCGTCATTCGGTTTGACAGTTAAGAATCGACAGCGTCTCACATTATGCGTTTGGACGCGTTAAAGCGTCCGGAGCTGACGGACGGACGGTCCAACAGACAGCTGCTCCGGGCCGGAAACTCTCACCTGAGCTGCTTTCCCTGTGTGCATTCGTGCGCTTTTCTGAAAGAGTGAAGCCCTGGAATGAGGTGGAAATGCACCAGGATTTCACACAAAACTGAACATTTTACCGAAATGGTCCAATTCTCATAGCTTTTTGTGTATTTATGGAATTGTATGTCCAGTTTGGACATTAATCTGTCTAATCTATCTTCAAGAAACTCTTGAAGACCCACCTCTTTAAAGAGCATCTCCTATGCTAACCCTAACCCGTACCTCTACCCCCCCACAGCTCCTTCTGTAGTCCCTCTACCTCTATCTCTATCTCACCACTGACTCTGATCAGTGTTTCTCCTCTGTATAGCTTATTGTCATAGTGATGATCAATGTAATATTGTGTCTACTCTGTAAGTCGCTTTGGATAAAAGCGTCTGCTAAATGCATAAACATAAACAACTTAAACATAATTTACGTGTGCATGTTAGCTTTACTAGCTAACATGTCTTAAACCATCCCCCTGAACGTCCTCACACAAGGCTGTCCTCACCTAATGAGTTTGTCCACTGCAGTAAAGCAGAGAACGATGGTTTTTCCGTTAGCCCCGTTAGCTCTCAGGTCCCTTTAGCCTGAGCTGGGCACGGCTCGCCCTGTTTCCTGTTTACTACTTTACGACAAAGCGCCTCGGAGCAGCCGAATCGTGTCGGCGTCTGGGGGAAATTTACGGCCAAAGGAAGAAAAAATTGAGGTCCGTTCGCCGACTAAAGTCTGGGGACTCGGGCCTTCACATCAAAGCTGTCACCACGGCGGCTTTTCACCAAGTCAGAGACGGAACGGAGAGTTTCCTCCCCCAAAAAGAGCAGGAGGAACTCATCCATGCGTTCAGACGGATTTCTGGACTTCCCAAAAGGAGCATCGAACATCTGCAGCTCATCCAGAACGCTCTGCTGGAGCTTGGAGCCGGACTCCGGGATCCCGACCCATCACACCAGGTTTATAATCTTTATAGCAGAGCAGATTTTAAAACCTGATGATTTAGGCCCACAGTGATATGTTCAGGGAGTATAAACCTAGCTCTTCGATCCAAAGACTCAAAGGTCCAAACAAACATGGAGAAGCAGCATTTAGCTGATACGCTGCAAACAAGACATTTTTAAATCCAGGCCAAAAATAGGTCTCTTCTCCTGTGTCTGTGCATAAAATCTGCTCATTTTCTTTCTTCTGATCTATGCGGCTGCTTGTTTTGAATAGTTTTAAGGGATTTAAGTTTTTTATTTTATGTTTTTCTGATCTTGTTTCTGTTCTTTAATTTTTCCTGCAGAGCACTTTGAGTTGTTTTGCACATTAAACGTGACTTTTAACTTGACTGGATGGTTCCGTGTTGAATTACAGTGGCAGAGTTTCATTTGGCATCCTCAGGCTCAGTTTGACCTTTTGACCCCTTGTTTTGGAGGAGCACCAAAGATTTTTGTGTTTCTATTTACCTTTTCTGCTTTCAGAGTCTCCTTTACGATGCATCTAGTTTGTTTTTGCCTTCTGTACTTGCGTCTTTTTCTTGTCCCACAGGCTTTTCTGTTCTGATCCGGATTTAAATTTGGGTTTATGAACACTCTATATGATGATGTTTGATAGTATTTTCAGACAAATGAAGAATTAACTCACATCTTTTAAATAATAAAATGGGAAAGAGCTCCAATGTTTCACATCGTAGACATTTAATGCCTCAACGTTGACTTCGTTTAGCAGTTCAAACCCAAAAATTATTTTTTTGTGATGTAAATTACAAAAAAAGGTAATTTGTTTCATTTTTATGTTACAGAAGAAAGTCATAACAACAATAACAACAATCTTTTGATTAAATAAACTACAATTAAATCAAATTGTGTTCCATAAACAGAGTTCAATTATGTGCTTTTTTCTGTGAGTCTTGGTGAACATAAGAATAACACCAAGCTGTTGACAAACACAATTAAAAGGTGTAAATGATGTTTCTGTCTCATTTATCAGTTTTATATTCAGTTTTATATCGTTTATTTCCCCTTTCAGCTGTGATATCTGGAAGTCCTCCTCAAAGAATCTGTGAACAAGTATAAAAAACAATTGAATAGAATAACAAGGCAGTCATAAAATATCATATTACATTTAATGTACAGTTTTAGCTTTGTTTAACATCCTGAAAGAGTTGTCTGTGTGCCTTATGGACATTTTAAGAGGGGAAATAAATGTGTTCCTTAGTTTAAAGACTCTCGTTTCACAAACTTTTTTCTAACTGATGTATTTGCTGGTTTGAATACTCCTAAGTTAACTCACCATAGTCTGAGCTGACAGAAAACGGCCGCAATTTCCTCCCAATTATGAGTCATTTAAGGTGTCAGGACCCAAACACCAGAGGTGGAGGAGGGAAAGGTGTGTGTGTGTGTGTGTGTGTGTGTGTGTG